TGCCGTGTTTTAGCCAATGGCCATTAAGGTTGAGCAGTAATCTGGCAACAAATAAGTGCGAAGGGAGCAACCAACACAATAAATTCAGCAGGTGAAACAAGGTGTTCATGTGGTAAGTTTTGGATACATACAAATTCTACGACAGGTAAATCCACAAATTTTCGATTCAAACAATTTACAGTATTAAGAGTAATGATGGACTGAGCAGTGTCCACGCTCGGTGAGGCAAATCTAAAGCACCCGGAGGGCGATGCTGCAACACGTTTTATCCAAAAATGTTTGGACGATGTGAATCACAGTCAATCTAGCAACTGATGATGCAAAAAAAGGTTAAAAAGTGAATCTAAGCTAGACTCTGTCACCGGTAAAAATGCAATGATCTAGCACCAGAAGGAAGAGTTAGAAGGCACCGGATAATACGGGTGTGCAGCGAAGCGCTCAACTAAATAAACTTACCCGAAAAAAATTTTGGCGGGCCCGTACGCGGGTACCACGCTTACCCGGAGGATGGGTTTGAGCTCATTAATAACTACTTGGACGGGGAGAATGGCAAATTCAACTGCTTCTCAGAAAGAAGTATTTTGATGTCGCAACGAAATAGAATTTTTTCAAGTGTTAGTAGAATGTACTATTCACTAGAATTTTTTCAAGTGAATAGTACGTGTAAACATAGTTTTTTAGAAATGAAGAGGCGTACAACGCCCTTCCTCCTTCCCCCTCGACGGTATCCCGAGATATCTGCAAGGATTTACCACTTTCATCAGCGGGGACACGCCACAGCAGCAACGCATACAGTAATAAGAGCAATATATATATGTAAAGTTACCAAATTATTGGGACTGGCAGTTGTCATGTTGTGTGGCGTTTGTGCCTTGTCACTCGCACTATTTCGCAGAGAACGCCAAACACAATCCAAAAAAATACATTAGAAGTCTGGTCAAGAATCAGTGTTACTGCAAAAACTTGGGACGGGAGAAGGGATCTCCGACATGTTCTGCATCTGACACCAGAAGAACGAAGAAGAAAACAGCGAAACGAACGTTAGGATCACAAGCAGAATGACCACTGAGTGACGCAGCTTCAGACAGAACGATCACGAAAAGGATCTGAATTTGTCTTCAGCTTTGCTAGTATAAAGATGCGCCACGATATGGCTTTGCGATTGAAAAAAAATCGAGACGAGGGTACTTTCAGACAACTGGTGGTTACCAGTAGAAAGACAATCAATGATATGAGCTCGATATAACAGAAAACGGTAACAAAGTGCAATGCAGACACAATAACATAATTAAAAACCGTTCAAGGGAGTATTTTAATAAAAAGCACCCGATTTACGGATCGAAGGGACTCTTTGAGGAGCACAGTTTTGCTTCAAAAACCAAACATTTCACTTTTAAGATGGAAAATGCAAGCAGAAATAAAGCTGCATGTGGTCATCAACAAAGCAAAAAAATGTGAAACTGCTTGAAAACTTCTCACACTTCACAAAGCGCTGCATCGTCGCTCTCGTCGGAATCACTGAGCAAAAGACTTCTTCTTTCATGCCGGAAATTCTTCGGATAGAATATCACACCACTGCCAAGTCTTAAATAGAATTATTAGTAGCACAAAAACACGCGCAAAACAAAAACTACTGCCATTGTCAATCTCAATCGCAAAATGCGTAACAAGTCTAGTGTTCCATGATAATCCGGCTCTGCTCCCATCTGAGCAAAAAAAAAAAGTGAATTTTTTTTCGTTAGTTGTGAAAATGTGAAAACAAAAGATTCGAAATGCAATCCGAAATTTCAATCCGATGAAGTTAGCTGTTCGAAAAAAACGAAAATCTCTTGGAAAAAACCCTCAAGAACACTTCCCAGCCCTCATATTATTTTAAACCTTACCCGTGCTACGCGAATTCCGCGGCTGTTGTGCTGCCCTAGAACTCACTGGGTACTGTACACCATTGCCGCAACTGAAGATTAAAGAGTAAGCAAAACAATACATGAAAGCAACAATGAGTGAAATGAACGTGGATGGTAGTACTTACGATGAGAAAACTGGCAGAAACCACAGGAGACATGTTCCACCGAAAACTTGTCCGAAATTGCGGCGGATGCCAAGATTGAAGCCATTTTTATCGATACCATGGACGAAAATTGGAGGCCGAAATGATTCTGCAACAGAAAGAATAGTTCGCAAAAAGGGCCGAGAACAGAGAGGACCATAGGAAGACTCTTTTCAGTAATAAATTTAAAAGTGTTAACTAACCAATTGTTGACTGATTTCGAGCGGTGAGATACAAATGATAGGAGAAAAGACAAGTAATCGAAGCAGCGAACATACCGGCAACAAAAAAGAGAAACAGAATGTGGAAACGACCAAAACCAGCATTTGGCCGTAACGTGTTCTAGAAATAAAATTACTAAAAAAACTTTGAAAATTCGTCATAAAAAAGCCATATTTTTTAACATTTTTCTGAATTTGCAGGAAAAGTTTTTCGAGAATTTTCAGAAAAGTTTTGGATCACTCATTCATTTGTCAAAACAGAGAATAGAACTTACTTTCCAAAAGGCAATAAAATACTGCAAATCGGTCAAAAGACCCCAAAGGCACAAAATGAGCCCATAGAAGAGGAACTGAAGAAAAAATTTGTAGTTGGAATAATTGACACACGTATTTACCCACGGACAGTGATGATCAAATTTCCTGAAAACACTATCAGTAACAATTGTGCCTTAAGTTTGAACATACATGCATGTATTTGTACAATCGTACACAATCCCCGCATAAATTATATACATTTCCAACCCGTACAATAACAACTGTACATATATACACGATCTAAGAGTAGTTATTTCTTAAAAAAAAAAAAGAATTCGCAGCATTCTAAAACTTACAGAACGCAGTGTCCACAAACCGAGCAGTGAT